ATAAAATGTTTGTCAAATTTTGCTTTGACTAAAGTTTTCCAAATCTTCCTAGAAGAGTCTGAATGTAGTGAGGATATCTTCTGCTTTGTTACCCCAAGGGTATCCATCTGGGTTTCTTCTGGTTTTACTTTGAGCCTGAACACTATTTTGTATTGGTTAAATCTCTTTATCCACTTTTGCGATTGTTCCAGCTGGTCAAGTAAGAATGATTCTGACATTGGCTGTTCATTTTTCTCACTTTGCTGAATTCTGGTTTCTAGCTCATATATTCACCTTTCACTAGTGAACACAGATATTTCTGCACTTTTACTTTATTTTTCTGTTTTCACTTTTATTTAAATCTCACTCTTGACACCATGCTCTGTTCGTAGTTATAGACCAAAGTGAATATGCGTGTTGGTGCCAGAGGAATCAAGATGGTTTCTCCTATCAAAACCCATTTTATTTCCAAAATGAAGCTTTATTACCAAATCAAAATTATTCCCTTCTAAGAAGCATAACTCAACATATTTAATGAGCTAACAACAGAACAGGTATACCAGGAATACGTGAATTCTTGACAGATGTTTAGCATAGGGAAAACTGCAGATGCACACAAAGGATGCAAGAAAAAACTGCTGGCAAGTGACAGGTATGGCAACCACCCCACAAAGAGAATTGGATCAAATTACATCCCTATTCAATGCTGGTCCCACTCAAGCTATTAGTCTGTGTACTGTACAATGCATTTGTTGTATCTCTGTTTTTGAGATAAGAGAGAGAAATAAATAAGGAAGACAAACTTATAAGTAAGTAATGAAATAGAAGATTTACTACACAAAGGTACACTTAGCCTTTGACCTAATGCTAACTCCACTTATTTACATAAATGAACAATTCCGTTCATTTATGTCCTATATGACATCTCCCCCTTTGGAGTCATACCTTTTACATTTAGGGTTTATCTCTAACCTATTTGGAGCTCACTGTTTTCTTTTCATGGACTGTCTTGTTTCTGGCTCAATGCTACAAAGGCACATTACTTTTGGGCTTAAAGTCTTTTAATTCAAACTTGGCAAACATTTTTGTACATCTTCCTAAACCTCCAGAAAAACATTTCTGGAAATTTATTTTTTTGTTCTTTTTTAAATCCTGCATCATCATAAAAATACTTCATTTTTTTTCTTTTTAACAAAAAGAATTTATTGGTACATCAAAAAGATTAAATTTCTCCATCCAGTCACTACTAAATAAATTATTCGTATTATTCATAACAAATGTTTTTACTTTTTCTGTTTTGCCATTGAAACTTACGTTTAAAAAAAGCTCTCCCTCAAAATTCAATTTTTATTCAGTTACACCATATGAAATTTTCTTTGTCCAAAATAAAGTAGGTTTACCAATTTTTTTTCCGAAGTTTACTTGTTAATTATACATACATCAGCTCGCATGTCAAGTTGAAATTTAATATTTTTGTTAACCATTTTTACTTGCATGTATCTTCTTACTTGTCCGTCCATTTTATTTGTATTTGCGCTATTCACTGAACATTTTTTTAAAATTTTCTTTGCAACATAAACTTTTGTGACCAATTTTATCACATCTGAAACATTTCTTATTTTTGTAGGGACAATCCATTCTAAAATGTAACTCTTCACATGTGAAGCGGGGATTAGGGGTCAAAAAATATTTTTTCTTCTCGTATGGTTTTTGACAAAGATGTTGAATGTGCAATACACCATTTTGTTTGATATCTTTCGAATCCTGTCAAACATTAATAATTCGTTGACATTCTTCTGTTATCTGTTAAAGAGTTAAACTAGGTTCATATTTTAGTTTATTCAATATTCTTTGTCTTATTTCAGCATCTTTTGCTGATGTCAATCCCCAAATGAAAATTAAACACTTGAAATTATCTGCTGATGATTCAGACAATTTAAAATTCTCACACTCATGGTTCATAATGCTTGCAAAAGTAGTAAATTTCATCCTTTTTTATGAGATTCATACATTTCCACTGTCTGTGAAACAAAGATGTCTTTTGGTTGAATATTTCTGAAAACAACAAAATAGTATTATCAAAAGATAACTCACCAGGTTTCTTTGGTAATATATAATTTACAAATTTCGTATATTCTACTGGACCTCATTTTCTAAGCAGCAAACAAACTTTTTTTCATCAGTCCAACAACAACAGTCATTTTTTAATATATCAGCGTATCTACCAAAATACGCTGAAAATGATAATTCTTCTTCTGGGTGATATATGAACTCAGATATTGCATTTACAATGGTATCCTGTGAAAATGAGAATGGATTTCCCTCAGTCCTACTTTTACTAACTAGCTCCAACATTTATAATTGTTGTTCCTGTGAGTGTAAAAGTACACCCTCAAAACGCTTTTGTTGTTATTGAAATTCTTATTGTTTCATCATCTCCAACATAGCTAATTTGAAGTCTTCTATTGTTGAAATTTTTTAAAGAGTTTCATAGTTATGTAGCAAAAAAACTTTAAACTTTGTTTCTTTCCTTGGAAACAATGTGTTCAAATAATTGATATGGCAGCCCAATTCCACAATGGAATAAACAAATCACAAGTCCAAACTCAAAGATCCAGGGGCAGAAAGAAATGTCAAAATCACGAATCACAAGTCCAATGTCACAAATACCAATACACATAAACGGTCTAAAATCAACATTCAAGCCAACAGACGAAGCAAAAAAAATAAAAACGACTTTTTTCCAATTCGAGAACACCAACTGATGGAACAATTTTTTCATTGGTTGACAGGTGGGAGAGGACACACAATATTAGCATATCCAAGATGCATTTATGTCAACACCTGCGACTGACTTATTTCTCTTTTGATGATTTTGTCTTCGGCATATTGTACAGAACACGTGTCCTTTTTCTTGGTAAGTGACTTTCTCTTTTGCCACAAGTTGTCAACCAAAATAAGATACCATTATCAGTATCCCAGCATAAGTTATTGCACTTCACCTGCACCAAAGAACATCAGCATTGGACTGTGTAAGACTAGTGCCATGTCATCAGATGAGTCATATTTTCAGCTCCTTTGAGCATATGGTAAAGTTCAATGTTTAGAGGAAAACATAGACTATGGACACAGTCCATCAGTAGGGTATTGAGCAAGCTATATTAACTATGTTCTGTTGGAGTTTACAAGGACCACTAATGAAATTGGATTGTGTCTTGACAATTGTGACATACACAGATCTTGTTGCAGATAATTTACACCAAATTAGTCTCAACATGTTTTCCAGTAATGATGGTTTGTTCTGGCAAGATTGCACAACACCTCACCATGTGTGACATGAAATTGGTTCTATGAGCACTCTGCCAACTACCAAATACTCTACTGATCCCCATGTTCATCAGATTAAAACCCCCTTGAACATATATGGGACATACATGTTACAAACTACACTAAATTCCCTGCAGGCATAACTAACAAGCACAACTCTGTTATGGACAGCCTTAGAATATCTGAATAGACATAATCATGCAATGACTTCAACACTTTGTAGACTCCATACCTTGTCATGAAGCCACTATTAGGCAAGTGGGAAGGTTACCTTGAGGAAAGTTTACCACACAAACCGCATAAATTCATAAAATTATAATATATAAATAGGAAATTAAGAAATCAGGCAATTCTGCTACCTAAGTCTCAACCATTCGGTATCTTCAGGCAATTTTGATCAATTCATTTCCTAAGGCTTTATTTATTTTTTCTTTTAAATAGAAAATTCATGAATGTTATATATATATATATATATATATATATATATATATATATATATATATATATATATATATATACACAATGGGTCATAATTTCTTATATCTGATTCAAAAGTTTTTTTTGGCCTGGAAATGTTACTATAGCTAATTTTTCTTGTTGACAAAGGTTGCAGATATTTCTATGATTGTTGTAAGGTTTTGCATTTTTTTTAAAGCTCTACATGTAAAATTTTTATCTTTTTTCATATTGAGTACTTTTTAAATACAACTATTTCCTGGTCTAATTCAATATGTTTTTCCCTTACCCGATTTTCTTCACAACAGCCCTTGCTAGCATGCATAAATGTAAAACGAAAGGCACCATCCATTGCTGACACTCATTTATCGTTCATGACAAGAGAGTCCTCCATTTTTATATATATATATATATATATATATATATATATATATATATATATATATATAATCTTATTAAATTAAAACACATAATGTCAGGTATTTACTTTTATCCTCCTTTTAAAATATTTGTTTATATTTCTGAGATAAGGTAACTATTTATGCTATTTACATCATTCAGTCTCTTTCAATAGCTGGCCACAACAGAGGGAACAAAAACTTGGAGACTTAAGCTACTAAAGGGAATTAACTGATACTGGGATATTCAAAAAAAAAAAAAAAAAGAAGCATGCCATGTGGAATTAGAACAATCTACCCCCCATGTACTAAATAAAAGGTACAGTTCAAAATTGCAATGTATATCACCTGAATGATGTAAATAGTTTTAAAATGTTTTAGATATGTTTATCAATAAAATTAGAACCCATTAAAAATTGTTTCATTTTTATCCTCTTATGGTGAATTTTGCTTGCAGTGATTTGATAGTGGTGAACTTACTGGATACATTTTACAAGTTAACGAAGGAAATATACATAATTGGGTATTTGTCTTTCTTTTACCTCATTTCATTTAATGCTTAAAAGAAAATTTGCTGTCTTATAGTCCTCTTACTACAAATTTTTTAAAATATCAGTTGGTGAACCCACAAATTATCACTTTGATTATTCTTAACTTCATTTCAATCATATAAGTCTATTTGTCATTAATTCATCATATTTATATGAAAAGCAGTAAATATTTCATAGTTTTATATTATTACATGCCATTTATAGTAAGATATTTAATGTGTTTGTAAAAGCCATAATATTCAACAGATTCAATATTTATTATTATTTCTTTGCTTTCATTCTGTTGCAGATCCTCATGTCTGCCACACAGCTAATGTTCATAAAAGCAGAGGAAGATGATAAAGAAGTATTAAAAAAAAGAATTAAAGAATTAGAAAATGAAAATGAGACATTGAAACAGGCTCTGGAACAGCTGCAACAACTACAGGGGAAATGCTGTGATTGGTGTGGTAAGAGAAAAGAAAGTTTTATTTTTGTTATTAAATACAAGTGTGGTCTGGAAAGTTCACAGGCTGACTATGAAGGAGTGATGCTAGAGCTGTGGAAGCTTGCATGCATTAATTTCAAATCTTCTTAATCATAACTGCAGTGTTTCTTTCCATGTAAACTAACTTCTTAGTATTCAAAGAAGACCATTTATTCTGTTAGTCAAAAAAGTCATCAACAGCAGATATCACTTACAGTGATGATATCTGCCTTTTTTTTTTTTTTTTTTTTTTTTTATTATATCTGTTTTTTCACACTTGGGAACAGATGATAGTCAAATCAGGAGAATAGGGAAGGTGAGCAACCAGTTCATATCACAGTCACATACAGTAACCATTGAAACCGTATGCTGGAGCAATGTCCTGACAAAATAAGACCCCTTTCATTAGTTTTCCTGGATGTTTAGTCTTGATAGACTTTTGTAACTGCCTCAACAAGTTGGCATAGTATTCTCCATTGATAGTCTGGCCCTCTGGAAGATAGTTGATAAACTGAGGCCATCACATATGAAAGGATCATGTCCTTCTTTGGAGCAGGTGAGGAGGGGTGTTTCCATTGCATGGATTCTCTTTGGCTCAAAATGATGAACCAAACACTCATCCTGGGTTAAGAAATGTTCAAGGAAACCAGCTGGATCTGCTTCAGATGATCTCAGATTTTCCCGTGATGTGATCAGCCTGTGTGAGAAGATGTGGCACTCGCCAAGCAGAAACTCTTGTTATGCAAAGTTTAATGTTCTCAACTCTCTCACGGAATACATTAATAGCATTGGCTATTTGATTTATAGTCAATCGACTCTCATACATCACCACGTGATGAACGTAGTGAATGTTTTCCTCGTTGGATGTTGTAGGATGTCTACATCTTGAGTCATCTTAAAAACTATCCTTTCCCCTCCTAAATTTAGCTGTCCACTGTTGATGAAACTGAAACATCATCCCCTAATGTAACAATAATGTCAATATGAATGTCCTTGGGGGCTAAACAATTTTTTCTGCAGATACTTGATAACATCACAATGCCAAATTTTTGTCTATTTTAAATAGGTTGTTACTAATTAGTTTTGAAGTCTTCCTTGAACAGTCAGATGTAAGTTTACCTGGAAAGAAACAATACAGTTAAGTACAGGAAGAGTTGAAATGAATGCATGCAAGATTTCACAGCTCCAGCATCATTCTTTTATAGTCAGCCTCTGGACTTTTCAGCCCACCCTTATATCTTCTTTCTCTACATCATTGAATATAATCTTCTAAGCCTGTTAGATAAATAGAGACAAGAAAAACATACTTGCCTGGTACAAAATCACACTTATGATGCATCTAATAAAGAACAAATTTACTACAAAAGCACTAGTTTGTTAGATGAGCTTGCTGGCCATTACTTTATAGTTTGCATCCAGACATTTGTACTGCACTGTACATTTAATATAGATTGCACTGATTTTACATTTCTGCCATTAACAACTACCAACTATCTTTAAAACTTTAGTAAGCATATAGCTGATGATTTCTAGAAGTAGCAAAAATGAAGCAAAAATTAGTTGGTTACAAATTCATTCTTATCACACTGCAGTGAAAAAAGTTGGGAAGTCAAGTGATTAGTTAAAAATTTGTATGGCTTTATATAAAGCATTAAGTCATGTGAGTCCTCCTTTTTCACCAGCAAACATACACAACATTGTCACTAATTCTGATGAGGTAAGTCACCATTTTCTTCACCACACTCCACTGATCTCACAATCACAAATATGAAAGCCTGAAGCAGGTCTGGGACACCTTGTGTGTTGATAAGTCATTTTTTGAGAAACCATCAGGCATATCTGGATCAGTCTCCAGGGTATCTGCATCCATGGGATCATCAAATTCACAGAGTTCATTTACTTGCTCACTATTAGACAATAAATCATTGCATATCGATGAGCCTGAGTCTATAAAGGAGCAAAGATATTTTAAATGCTGCAGCATTCCATTGATCATCATTGTGAATTAACAATCTTTGTCATGCAATCCACTTGTTATCTGGATGTACACCAGCCGTGTGGAACTTCCACTTAGTCTACATACATGATTTGATCCTTTCCATCTTAATACAATTACTGAAAAGTTTTACAAATTCTGATTTGTTCACATGTGTTATTATCTACTGAGGCAATCAAAGCTTTTATGAAAAATTCTGTCTAGCATCAACAATCAAAGTTCTTAATATAAAATAGCAGTTCATTAAGTCCATATATACTGCCTGAGCAAAATGTAGCAGATATATTTTCTCTGTTTTTATGACAAAGAAAAAAATTGACTTTAGTATTGCTAAATTATTTTTTTGATTTTGTGTAAAGTTACTTTCAATATTTACTTTTAAAGTTATTTTTTAATATTTAGAATATTCTAAAAGTGCAAAATATATTTTTAATCCAAACCCTCTGGAGATTTCCTAATTTTTATGGTGATAAGAAGTGTTGTTGCTCACACAATGTATTATGGAAACTGATTTTCATAAGAGACAAGTGAATTTTCCTGTAGAATGTATACTATCATTGAGCACTTTGCAACAACAGTTCTTCATCTTTAAACTGAACATGGAAGCATGAACTTTACAAATAAAATACTAACTACCAGCAAAAGATAAAATTTTTAGTTTAAATGGATTGGAAATTAAAATTCATTTACTAACTAGAACTACTATTGATTACGTTGTAATTTGAATAGATATTTTCTAAGCAAATAGCTATAATTTCAAATAGCTATAATTGTTAGAACTGAATGGAATAATTCTAGTATTAAAAAAAATCATAAATTTAATAGTTATAAAGACATAAAGAGCAGGAATATATTTTCAATTAATTATTGATGAATTCAAGAATTATATTTTGTAAAGGGATACGTTATAGATAAACCAACTGTTTTGTGTTATATAATGATTAAATTAATTCTCTTTTACATTGTATCATATTTACTGTTTTGCAATGATATACTGTTAATAACTGTTTGTACTTAACATGTTTATTGCTATATGATGCACATGTTCATCCATTTCATGACTTTAATTACAACAATGTAAATAAATAACCACAATAATCTAGCTATTCTCAATGTTAGTATTTATTCTTACATTGATTTGTAGGGTTGATTTAAAGCAAAAAAAAAAAAAACCCAAAAAACTGTACAAATATATCACATATCGTGAAAAATACAGTCAATACCAAGGATGCATAATTTTTATAGCTGAATAAATTTCATTTTCTTTATAAAAATAAAGCATAAGTAGTCTTATATAGCAATTTCTAATGCTAACTCTAACAGAAACATAAATGGCATTATGTAAGGGTTCAGATATCCAAGGTCTAAGGAAATGTTAGGCTTAAAGAAAATGATACTCTTAATACAATTGAGATTTAATTTTTGTTTTATTATAGTTGTTCTCCTTGAAGAATATCTAATCAATTTTAGTGACCAAATAAAATAATTGGATTGTATGTCTTTTGTTTTTTTTTTTTGTTTTTTTTTTGTTTTTGTCTGATGTTTAGAACTACTAATGCCAAGTTCTGACCAGGAACGAACCACTATCAGCAATTGGCTTGAAGGAGTATTAACAGCTTTAAAATCACAAAAAGGAGAGTCAGAATTGATAATTGATGATAATATACAAAATTCTGCACAGGCAACTCCTCCTACCCCACCACCACCTACTCCACCACCACCAACACAGCAACCGCCATCAGCAGCAGCAGCACCACCACCACAGGGTTCAGTGACCTTGCCAAATTTTACAGTCAGCCCTACAGTATCAAGTGCTCAGCCTATCATTATCAGAGTGAGTTGTTCTTTGATATTATTTTTTGGAGAAAAATTTATAAAATATTTAAAAATATGAAGCAGCTTTTATTTTTGGTAGTATTTTCTGCCAGTGCCAACACTAAGGATGCACACCTGCCACAACAATCTCTGATACAGAGCCCTAACTCTATTACAAATTAATTATCATGATGCAGAATTCATATAAAATGCAAATTTTATTGAAACCTAATTATGTACAATAAAACTGTTTACAAAAAAATTTTTTTCTCTGAAGCAAACATGTGAATAGGTGTTTCTTTTTATTTTTTTAATTAATTTTGCTGAACAGTTTTACTTTAGTTTTTTGCCTTCACATATCACATTTTCGTTCTACTGCATATAAATTCAAAATATAGTGTTTATTTTACCTATTACAAAGGCATATTACAGAAAAAAAAACAGCATAGATACAGAGCTTTGGTGAAACTAAATTATTTGGATAATACCATACATACACATCATAGTACAGCAGTCAGAAGTGAGTTTGTCTTATATAATCGTGTGTACTTTGGCTATAGTATGTCATGCAGAAGCATCCAGCAGAAGCCCTTCATCATGCTGGTGTTCCACTTGTCTTGGTAGTTTCTTTCCATCTTAGTAATATCTTGATGGAACTTTTCTCCAAGTTCATCACTCACTGTTCTGAGGTTCAGAGAGAAGAAGTTAATATAAGGGTGGAGAAAGTGCATTTTGAATGACATTCAGCATCCCATATCCTCATAAAATCCTGTAACAACTTCTCAATACACTCTTGGTAATTTGGTACCCATGTGTTACCCTCAGTTCATTTAATGTAAGAAGCTCCTCAAATACCTTACCCTTCAGCACTTCTCAGATCTGAGGTCCAATGAATATGCCTTCCTTGAACTTAGCAGAACTGAGAGTTGGGAATATAGTGCACAGGTGTTGCAAGGCAGCATCATTTTTGTCCAGGGCCTTCATAAAATTCTTCATTAGACCAAGCTTAATATGAAGAGAAGGAAGAAGCACTTTGTTCATGTCCTTCAGAGGATTTTCTTTCACACTGTTTACACCAGGTATAAAAGTGCTCCAAGACCCACAGTCCTTCTGCTTGTAGTGCTTGGACACAGCCCAACTGTTCCAGTACTTCATGAAGCCTGCTTACATACCCATAAGGAGTGTAGAAATCTTGAGGTCCCCACAGAGATTTCACTGGTACTGCTTGTATTTGATATATTCCAAAAAGAGCTCCATATTGTCATATGACTCCTTCAGATGGACTGGGTAAGCAATGAGAATGTTGGGGTAGTTATTACTATTGTGCAGGAGCACAGCCTTCAGACTTTGCTTGGAAGAATCTATGAAAAAATGCCAATCTAAGGGATTGTGTGGGAATTCAAGGAAGGTGAATAATCTGTTTTCCATGCTGAAGAATGAGGTGAAGTCCTTGTTCCGTATACTGAAACTGATATTCTTACATCTACCATGACCAGGTTCAACTGCTTATGCCAGGATGCCAGGAGCTCTGACTGCTGCTTTGATAGGTACAAATCACAGGCAAGGTCATTCAGGTCTTCCTGGCTGATCCAGTGGGGCTCACTGTCACTTGCTCCTGAATAAACAGAGACATTGTCTTCATAAGAGACCAACTTGGCAGAATTTTCCTCTGAAGGCATTTCCTTTATATAATGAAGGATCAAGATCTTTATGTGCAGTTGGTGTAGGGACAGGGGGATCATCTGAGGAGGGAACAAGCTGAGGGAAGGTTGGGATATTTAATTTTTTTTTTTTTTTTATTAGAAGAAAAAGCATTGAAATCAATTAAACAAAAATAACAATCTTCATGACTTTGTGGCTGTCTCCAGACCTTTAGGACAGTAAAGTTGAAGACAGCTTTCTTGTCATGAAACTATGCAGTTAATCCATTGTAACAGCATTTGACAGATGGGGCCCAGGATTTGTCCTGATCTACAATTTTACAGTCAAAACAATGAAAATAAAATGTTGTTTTGAAGTGCCTGAAGCCGTTGTAGAGATATGTATTAGTAGACAAAAATAAACATGTATAGTTATGCCCATGTATACCGGGCATTGAATAGGATTTCAATTAAACTTAGCCCAGAGCTGAATGTAGGTTGCTAAAGGTGGCCATTATGTAAGTTTAAAAAAAAAACCAAAAAAAAAACACAATTTCTAAAATTTTAAATTTTTAAAAAGAATGCCATGTCCTGAATAAGACGCATCTGACAGCCTTGAATGCATGTACGTGTATATACATTTAGGTCCATGTATATCTCAAAAACTAGAGGTGATGAATGAAAATGGATTTCGTATCTGAAATCAGCACCCCAAAATTAGTTTAGAACAACTATTTTTATGCTTGCCTCAATTTCTTTGTAAACCAGTGTAACTATCACTATAATATCAGAAATAAATAAGATGGTGAATCATTTCTTGCATAGGTAAAATCAAAAATAATTCTTGCTAATGGAGAAAAAGAAAAAGGAAAACATTGCTATTCTTTGTCACTTCCAAAAAATAAATTTATATTTTTGACTATTAAATTTAATAAAAATAAATTAGTTCATGTATGAATTTCATATTTCTAAATGTTCAAAGCATAGAAATTTTGAATTGAGTTTTTAATAAAGATTAAACATTTTAGATACTTTATTTTAAAATTCAATTTAAATAATTAAATGAATTTTAAAATCATTTGGAACAAATATTCTACTCTTGGAGTTGAACTTTAAAAGCTTTAAACTTACAAAATATTTATTGAACTATTCAACAATTGGAATATTAAACCCATAATAAAAATTAAATAATTTTCTATCATTATTCTGCTACTCCCTTGTTAGTTGTATTCTATTAAACCTCTAGGTGAATAATAGATCATACCATCTATATGTGAACAATTCAAATAGAAAATTTGAATAATGTATCCAAATGCAAATTAGTGGTGCATAATAATAGATCATTTCCTATTAAACCAACCAACAATATTTGCAGCAATTTTTAATTAAATTTTTTCTTGATAAAAAGTTGAATAATGTAGCAGTCCACAACTAAGTACACCCCTTTGAATTCCTTTCTAAAAACTTAATTTACTACTCTCTTGAGTGAAATCTGCTTTTTTTTCATTGTGCTTGGACCAGTATCTGCTAATTATTCTCAGATGGTTTCAGTGGCAGAGATGAAATCTGTTTTTTTCTCAGAAATACCCATGAGAATTACCTCTTCAGTGACTACAAGTGACACTCCAACATCTTTGCTTACAAAACTCAATTCTTCCTTTCAGAAAACCTTCTATATGATGACAAGTAAGATAACTAAACTAATCATAGCTACTTTCATTGTCAGGAGGTGGATTGACAACTTTCATAAAATGGCCAGATGATGAACCTACCAAGTATAGTCCAGGGTAACCTGATCTGTAGATTGCCAACATTATGGTCGAAAAATTGAAAAGAATTTTACGTAGATTTTTTTTTCAAAGTTTAGCAAAAGCAAATGTATACACTAGTTCAAAGTTGAGGAATCAATCTTTTTTCATTGTCAGTATAAATCATTGCTAACCCAGATAACCTGTCATCTTTCATTTTAGTCATTGATAATCTTTTATTACTTTAAGTTTGCTGAAACTTCTTTAGTCCTTTTTAACAGTCACTGGTGTAGTAAGCAATAGTTGCAATGCAATACGCAAGTTCAGGTGTCAACTAAATGATTCCAAAAATGTAATCCCAAAAAATGATGAGCCTTCTTTAGCTTCCTTTTTCTGTTCTTGATCTCTGATTCTCATTGCTGAATTAAAGCAATCTTGAGATCTTGAGACAGTTCTTCTGCTTCAATGTCACCAATTTTTCATAGAATTGTTTGAACTGTTCATTCACATTCCAACTCAATCTTCATTCAAAAGACATTCAGAATTTTGAATGAATCTGTAGATTTCATTCCACTGTGAAAACCAATTATTAACTGATGACCATCCCTAGCTAATAAAAGAAATAAAGAAATCCTGACATAAACAGTCTTCTGGTGTTTGAACTTCATTTCAGGGCTCCTGATGCTTGTGGGTCAAACATTTCTTCAATGCCATTTTCTTCTGCAATTTCATGCATTGTCAACATAGCAACAAAGGAATATCCATTTTTGTGCTAATCATGAAGAAAACTGCAAATTGCATAAATCTCAGCAATTGTAATGTTGATTGTAACATGAAAAGATTGCATCAACTGACTCATTTGCTTACCTGAAACAGAACTTGTACCAAATGATAATGCTTAGTACAAAGTTTGAAGTAGAATTCCAGTGATGTTGATTCAGTTGCTATTACACCATATCTTTTCTGAAGACTTTTCTTGCAATTTGGTAAGAGCCTTTCTACTGTTTTTAAGGTGGTAATGCAATTGTTTGATAACATTGGTTCATGATTTTAATATTGTACTGCATTGTACTTTCTCAGAAAAAGGCACATTCTCTGATAGTATCTTCCAACAGAAGATTGAGGCAGAAAATGTATATAAGTGATTACCGTATTTTCTGGCTTGGAAGACGCACCCTAATATTGGGATGAAATTTCTAAGAAAATAAAAGTCATTCTCATACAACAACACATTCACCATGCACCCATCACATACTGGCACCACGTATTGTTTACAATAATTACTCATCCGATTTTCTTTGTGTGGCAATGACATACTAGTTTATGGTTAGTAAATATACTATACATCTTTCATTATCCAAGGGTGGTTTTATTTTCATAAAAATGAATTAAAAATTTTATAAATATGCATGTAAAAATATAAAACAAAGAAATTTTATTCATCTTCAAATCCCAAAATCTCGTCACTGCTGGATTCATGTAAAAGCTCTAAGCTGTCAGTCATGTACAATAAATGATCCTCACTACCATCCATGGCATTACTTATACCACACTTTTTCAAAATTTTATAAATATGCATGTAAAAATATAAAACAAAGAAATTTTATTCATCTTCAAATCCCAAAATCTCG